AATAGAATAGAATAGAATAGAATAGAATAGAATAGAATAGAATAGAAGGTAGGGGTAGGATAGAATAGGATAAAATACTTAGTCTTATATACCACTTCACAGTGTTTTTACAGCCCTCTCTAAACGGTTTACAGAGTCAGCGTGCTGCCCCCCCAAACAGTCTGGATCCTCATTTTACCGACCTGAGAAGGATGAAAGTCTGAGTCAACCTTGAGCCGGTCAGGATCAAACTGCCGGCAGTGTGCAGAGTTGGCCTGCAATACTATATTCTAACCACTGCGCCAACAGGGTTCCTTAAGCTTCGCTGCCAAAACCTACGGAGGATTCGAGTTGTAACCTGCTAGTACTTACGGCTCCGTCTCTACCGTCTCTTTCTTGGCGAGATAGTTGTAGGGAACGTAGCCTTCCTCGCTTCTTCCTCCCTGAGCATCCACCTGCTTGGCCCAGCACCATTCTCCGGTCTTCTGAATCACCTCAAACAAGTCCCCTGCTTGGAAAGTCAACTCCGTTTTGGTTCGGGCTTGAAAATCCCACAAGCTGGTGTAAAGAGAACAATTGGCTCCGGGCACCGGATCTGTTTTGCAGGCCATGGTCGAGCGCAGGATTGAAAACCGGGAACGAATCAACTAGTTACTTTGTCGGCCTTTCTGTCCTCCCCAGCTGCAAGTCCTGTTCACGTTAACATAGGTATGCACTCCTTCTGGAATGTAGCAAAGGGATTTCTCGTAAACCCAGGGAGGCGTTTCCCAGAGCAGGTAAGCCCTACTACCAGCCACAAGGTGTACAAACCGGAAAAGCAGAGAGGGAGGGAAAGAAGGAACAGGGGAAAATCCCTTTTTCTGCCTCCTATTGCTAAATGAACCTTCGTGATACATTTCAGCCCAGCCCGTTCTGACTTGTTACAATGGCCTTTTTTAAATTTTCTTTTTCAAAAATACAAAAGGTTTTTCCAGTGTGTGGTGGTGGGGGGTAAGGAATTTATGAGTGGGTTATATACAGAGTAATACAGAGTAATAGAGTTAGAAGGGCCCTTGGAGGTCTTCTAGTCCGACCCCCTGCTCAAGCAGGAAACCCTATATCCGTGATGGCGAACCTATGGCACTGCGCATCCACGCGCCTCACAGCTGATCTTTCGGCTGGTTTGAGGCCTTTTTTCGGCCTCTCAGAGGTTTGAAAAAAAAACCTCTGCAGACTTTGCAGGTTGAATAATAGGCCCGTTTCGTCACTTCCGGTATTACAGGAAATGACAAAACGGGCCTATTATTCTGTCTGCAAAGCCTGCAGAGGCCTTTGGGAGGCTGAAAAATGCCTCAAACCAGCCCAAAAAATCAGCTGTGAGACACAGTGCAGGTAAGGGGGCGGCATGGTGGGGGGAGTGCGCGCACATGCGCAGGGTGCATGGAGGACACCACGCAGTTGCCTTCTGGGTGCTGGCATGCGAGCACGCATGCGCAAGCGCGCAAACAATTTTTGGCACAGGAGCCCAAAAAGGTTAGCCACCACTGCCCTATACCATTTCAGATAAACGGTTGTGCAAAAATATTTCCGGTATTGGAGAACCCATAACATCCAAAGGCAAACTGTACCACTAATTGTTCTGTCAAGAAATGTCTTGTTAATTATAAAATAATTTAATCATATGAATTATAGTTATATTCTGTTGGAAGTTAAAACCCACCCCTCTCCTGGAAAAATGAAATATCCTAGGAAATATTAAAAGGGCAGAATATTTCTTCTAAATAGAGTAAAGTAGAAATTCAGAGAGGCAGAAACTCATCCCCCTCTCCCCCACCTTTGCTAATGGGCCGTTAAGGACTAGGCCAGAGTATTCTACATAATAAAGGCCTCTACCCATCTCACCACCTGGCCTGGGAAGATTGTATCGGCCAACACTTAGGTGAAGCCATGTGGTCCAAAGTCTACAAAGTTAGCTAAGACCTCCAGCCCCTGGGAGTCTGACAGCCAATGGGATACATTTCTTACACGGGAACAGGAAACACGAAGATGGAGGCCCAACAGAAGTTATAAAACTAAGGGTCTCTCGGCAACTCAGCCCTTTTCCTTCTTTCTTCATCCAGGGCATGTGATCCTGTCCACCATTAAACCATTTTTCCAAACAGTCACCATGTTTCCAATGTCTTTCTTCCCCACTTGGAACTGAACCCAGAAGGCTATTTTACTAACCAGTTCTGTGGGCGCGGCTTGGGGGGGCGTGGCAGGGGAAGGATACTGTCAAATCTCCAGTTGGAGGTGGTATTTGCCGTAACCTGCTGAATACCACCTCTGAGGTGGTGGTTTGGCATCCTTGCAACATAGGCCTTACTCTGGAGAGGACTTCTGTGTCTATCTAACATCTTGTCCTGCCATCCATATTACACACAGCAAAGAAGTCACTGCAGCGCTGCTGTAATACAGGAAAACGCACATCGAAGCGTTGTTGCACTGCTCTTCAAACTTGGCCAGTTTAAGACTTGTGGACTTCAACTCCCAGAATTCCTGAGCTAATGTGACTTGAGGAGGAATTCTGGGAGTTGAAGTCCACAAATCTTAAAGCTGTCAAGTTTAAAGACCCCTCTGCTTTAGTCATTCCTACCTGAACCCACATATTTTTTTTTGTATAAAAATGCTTCAGAGTTGTGTCCCTCCTCAACCACAGCCTGACACATCTTGGGCAGCAGAGGTGGGGAATCACTAGGTCCTCCAAGGCTTACACCAGAGGACTCCAACCTTGGCAACTTTAAGACTTGCGGACTTCAACTCCCAGAATTCCTCAGCCAGCAAAGTTGCCACTGGCTTACACGACTCTAGGTCCCACATAAGCGTCACTAGGATACGCACACTTTACCCGTTCTCTTGTGATAGACAGAACAAGGGTCTTCAACCTTGGTGGCTTTAAAACTTGTGGACTTCAACTCCCAGCACCCCTGAGCCAACAGGACCAGAGGAGGAATTCTGGGAGTTGAAGTGCACAAGTTTTAAACCCGCGTTATAGCACCCTATTTAAGAAAGCTATAACAATAACTCTCCTCCAGGAAAAACCTGTTCTGCATTCACGCAACACGCTGCACTCTAGCACAACTCTAGATTAACAGCCTAGAGTTACACACCACAGATATAAACTCTCTATTTTTAGAACCAGGTAAAGGTAGCCCTACCGAAGCAGGGCCTCAAAAAATTAACACAAAACTCATAAATGTTCCTCTCCACGGAAATCTTTAGTAAAAGGCGAAAGATTTATACGATCTGAAGAGAAACCAGAGTATACCTAATTTTAATTCAACAGAGCAATCCCTGCAACGATGCCTATTCAATACATCATGGTGACCCTCCCGATGGGCAAATAAGTTACATTGTGAGTATGTGTATCGTTACGAAAATGAACAATGGCGAAGCTGAAATGGAAAATAATTTTTTGCAAATTGCAGAAACGACGGCAAAATTGCATCTTCTTGCTGCGCAATGCATCATGGGTGCGGCTGAAGGGAAATGAGGCCTCTCGGGTCCGCTATAGGTTCCGCCCCGACTGCATGCGGGCGCTCGTAACTCGAGCGCGACTGGGGATTTGGAGTTAGTTTTTGCTCACACTTTCGCCAATAATTTGCCGAATTTTAACCAATCCGGAGAGTACGATTCAGTGCAGGTACAAACGATCTTTCATGGTTGTCGTATTTATTTATTTTTAATAAATAAAGGCACTCTCTAATAATGTATAACTTGATATCTCCCACAGCTTTTCTCACTTGGTATCTTCCAGGTAAATCGGAACTGCAACTCCCAGGAATCCGAGCAGTTTACTTTTGGCTAGGGAATTTTGGGAAATGTAGTTCCGACATATGTGCAAAGCGCTGAATTCAGAAAGTTGGGTTGAGAAAGAGCTGAAACATTTAAAATGTGTTCTTTTTTTCTCTAGGAACAGCAAAAACTCTATGGTAGAAATCTGTGACTTTCCCAAAGATTCTGCTTTTCCGTTGATGCAAATTCAGGACAGGTTAATAATATTCTATGGAGAAATAAGCTTTAATACCGTCTTTCCTTCTCTCAGTTGTTTGGGTTAATTGTCTGAAGTTTGTCATTTATGATTTATGTTCTGCTTTAGTCCAAGAGGTTATAATAGCAAAAAATTAGCTTGATCTCCTTATCTGTTATCACATTCAATATTATCAATATTCACAGGGATCCTTTGAAGCAGGATAAGATCTGTTAAACATGGAATATAACCTTGAACAAATGTTATTAGAAGATCATTAAAATTTGAAAACATTTTGGCTGCCCTGAAAAAAAAAATTAAGGAAGACCTGATCTTAGTATTGCTTGGATGAAAAGTCACTTCAGATCTGCAGGCTGTGAACTAAAATCTCACAAAAATACAGTGTGAAATCACTTCTATTACAAGAAAGGGATGTAGACCTGGCCACAAAGTTTAGAGAAACGGTGCTTGACTCCACAGAGACTTCAGTAAGGAAAGTAATGTTGCTTTGCTTCTCGAGCTATTAGACTAGTCTTCTTTGTAGGTAGCATACAAATTAAGGAAAGGAGGGAGTGAGGGAGAGAAGAGGAGGAGGGGGAAAAGGAAAGTAAGGGGAGAAGAAGGAGAGGAGGAGGTGGGAGGAGAAGAAGGAGAGAGGGGAAGGAAGGAAAGGAAGGAAGGAAGGAAGGAAGGAAGGAAGGAAGGAAGGAAGGAAG